TTTGGGTGGGACAAGTGTCTGAACCTGACAGTTTGGAGCTCAATTAGCAGAGACAGAAGGAAAGGCAGGCTTTGAAGCATCTTGGATTTACTGTCTACACATACTGATGTTCCTTCAACTTCCTCACTGTAGGGATAGGTAACTCTTCTAAGATTGTGCCCGCAGTGATGTCGCTGTCTTGTTAAAAAAAAATTCCACAAATAGAAGAAAAAACACAAGGATATTAAAGCTAGATCATAATCCTTGTGACAGTTGGAACAGCAGCAAGACACACTCACTCAGTAACGAACCCAGTAACTCAAGGCATACCCTGCAGAGATGAGAAATCTCACCGCAGTTCTACTCAATTGCAGCCCGATAGGGACATCCGTTGGTTGAGATGTTAAACCGAGTGCCCGAATGTGCCTGTTCAGGTGGGTGTTAAATGATGCCATGACACTGCTCGAAAAGAAAGCCGTGTCCTGGCCAAAAATTCCCGCCCCCCCCAAATAAAATTGATCATTCACTTTATGGCTGTTTGTGGGATTTCGCCCACAAAATATACAGTCAATCCACTTTACAGTATACTCTGTGAAGCGCTTTGCGACATCTTGAAGATGTGATAAGGCGCTATATCAAATGCAAGGATTATTATCTTTGCTGTGCATAAGTTGGCTGCTACGTTCGCTACTAAACACATAGTCACTACACTTTATAGTAGATCCTGTGAAGTGCTTTGAGCTGTCTTCCTGACATGAAAGGCATGGAATCAAATGCAAGGATCATTAATATTGCTCAAGCTATTTCCTAATCACCCCTACTGTAAACAGTCTACACTAAATCATCCTCATCCATCTTTATTGTACAGAAAATTGGATTCAGCTACGTCACTTAGTTGTTCAAAATATACTAAAATAATACAATTCACTCGGTTCTCTTGGCAATGTTTGTTTCATGAGGATCCAAGTTTACTTCCAATAAATTATTGTTCCTTCAGTGTCTTCTGGCACAGCCACAATCATGCTGGCTGTCTATTGCTCTCACGACAATGTTATAGACAGAACCTTGGAAACCCACAAAGAGCAGCTGAAATGATGGATGTGTTGGCTTGTGCGGTGATTAATGACTGGGACAATGCAATAGCACACACAATTCCACCCATTCTGTGTGAGATATCAAGCTAGGATTGTGATTTGGCACTCTGAGGATTAATAATAATAATTTCAATCTTTACATTTGCTATAGTGTCCATTACATCAACATGGTTCTGAGTAATTGCTGTCAAGTGACTGTGTATTTGCGGGCAATCTTACCAGGCTTTTTGCATGCCTGAATGACTCACAAACAGGCATGAAGTGAATGACCAATGTTATCTGGAAGACCGAAGGCCAGAATTCTAGGAGAAAAAAAAACCTTCTCTTTTCAAATAGTGTCACTAAATCTTTCATGTTCACCTGAATAAGCAGGTGGGACCTCAGTTTGACATCTCATTTGATGGATGATACCAACAATGCAATGTTCCTCTATTATGACACTGAAGTCCTAGACTTGATTGTAAGCTCAAAATCTCATTATGGGCCTTAAACCCACAATCTTCTGACCCAGGGGCATATGTGTTATTAACTGAGCCGAGCTGATTCTTTAAACATTAGGTGGTGTCAAGCCTGGCTCTTGAAACCCAGATTGTACATCAAAGTGAGGGTGGTATTGACTGTAGATTCTGGAGTTCCCAGAAGGAGATGTCAATTAGCGTCAATTACTTTGTAGAGAAAAATGTGAAGTCAGCGAAATCGCTAGATTATAGCCCAGAAAAATATTTATTTACCATGCATTTACACAACAACAAATTGCATTTATATAACGCCGAGCTGGAACAACGCACTTAATGGAGGGGAAAACTTTGTTGGGAGGATGTCCCGTAGCACTGGATGTTCAAGGGTTTGCACATAGAGATACTCTCTGGCACGTTTATATACGTACAATACTTTAGGTTAAATGTGATTTCATTATTCTGAACAGATATCAGGAAGTATTTCTTCTCACAGAGGGTTTGTGAAGATGTGGAATTGCTGTGATCAGGAAGCAGAAGAGGCTGAAACAGTAGTGATGTTTGAAAGAGAGACAGAGACTTGGGTAGCAGAGGAGTTAAGAGGTATGGCAGAAGGGTGGGGCATTTGGATAAAATGAATGTCTACGCAGCTATGCTTTGTGTGAAATGAGAAACTTTGATTACGGTACAAAAGGACAATTCTCAAGTCTTAAATTCTAAATGACAATCACAAAAAACTCAAGAGAAAGGGGAAACACAAATAAGAGCCTAGGATTGATTCAGACAGTGAACACCCAACTCGCTCGGGCACAGAACAATAATTAATATAAGATACATAGCAACATGATGAATAGCCGAGTTTGATTTATCATGTAAAGGCTGGCAGCAGTGCTGGAAATAATTATAATCATCAAGCCACTCAAGAACAACGGCAAGTGGCATTCACCCTGTATGAAAATTCAATAAAGAACAGGGGATAAAGTCAGAGAACTATATCTGTGTGCACACCATGTGTTGCCTGTAACCATGCCAATAAAAACAGCGAGCTGCAACAACTCACTTGATGGAAGGGAAAACTTTCTGAGAATCAATGAGATAAAGTTCCACGTTCGGAAAACACAAGGAGTTATTGCGCTGTTTTGTCGGAGATGGCGTCCTTCTGATCACATCTTAAATGGGTTCTGCCTGTTTGAGTGGACGTTAAAGATCCCACATCACTGCTCAAAAATTTAAGTGAGTTACTGTTTCCTGGACCAATAAAATGAGTCATTCAGTTTATAGCTGTTTGCGGGACATTGCTTTGCGCAAACAGGTTGCCGAGTTCGTCTACAAATACACAATCACTACACTTTACAGTAAATCCTGTGAAGCGCTTTGAGACATCCCCCCCCCCCCCAATGTGTAAGGCGCTAATACCAAATGCAAGGATTATTATTTCAGCACGCATCCTGCTTGCAAGCTTTGACGAATGATCTGAAGGCAGTGTTGTATAATTTCATCATCAGAAACACTCGTCTAAGAGGAGTTGACAGCAAAAAAAAATGATTGTGAATGGGTTTTAAAATCAAATGCCTGACGTGCAGGAGGAGGAGGAGATTTAAAAATAGAAACAACTTTGTGATGTTGGTGAGATTTTAATTTGCTGCAGGTGAGACATCAGACAACGGACTCTATAAAATATGCAGTTTAGAAAAAAGAAAGGGAGACAAGTCGTCACTTAACACAAATTTACATCTGAAAGAATTCAGTGGATGAATAATATCTGGAGTGCTTTGCCATAGCATTAAGCAACAGAACTCCCCAGCTCGCTGATTGTGAAATAACACACTACATTCACAGGTGCAGGTTATTTGTCACAAGCTGTCACGATAGCCTCGTTGGTGGTGGGGGAAAGGTGGTAAATAATGGATGGAGAAAACAGTAAGGAGTGACGGCTTTTTCCTTTCACATTGCTGTACAGGGCGACGCTCCCTCTGCAGGGTGTTTCAAGACAGCGACGCAACTCAGGGTTGAGACCGCGGGGTAAGTTCCCACCTCCGCGGCTTGATGGTGTGCCTGCAGCGTACGCGACTCAAAGGTGATGTAAGGGAAACGATTCTTTATTGAAAAGCAAGGAAACGCCACCCACCTTGCTCTTGTTCCGTTCACGGAAAAGGCCGCGGTGCAACTACAGCCATTCTCCCTTTCGTAAAACCTAAGAATCCTTGCGCTTGGAACGGCACCTTACACGTCAGCAGGATGTCTCAAAACGCTACACAGCATTTACTGTAGAGTTCAGTCGCCGTGGATTTTGGTGGGATCCACAGCATCCAATTTGAGCGCAGCAAAGTCTCACCGACAGCCTTGAAGTGAATAACCGATTTTATTTGGGGGGGGGGGGACGGTATTGATGGCTCGGACACCGGGAGAAACTCCCTTCTCTTTTCGAGTAGTGCCATGCGATCTTAATGTCCACCTGAACAGGCAGACAGACCTCGATTTAGCGTCTCGTCCAATGGACAACACCCCCGACAATGCAGCACGCACCCCCATCGCTGAACTGGAGTGTCAGCCTGGAGTTCCAAGTCTTGATGTAGGACGAGATGTTACATAATGTAAAACCTCGTACTGTGTCAGCACAGTCGAGGAAGACCTAGATTTCTCTCGACAGGCCAAATCGAAGAACAAGGAGCTGACAGATTCCACAGGGAACCCCCCCTGGGCTAACATCACTTACACATGTTCAATCAGGAAATAAATAAATTAGATCAGAACGCGTTGCTGCTGGAGAAATGACACACTCGTGTCCATTGCAAAGAATCGACAAAACGAGGAGGAAATCTTGGTGTTTGGAAGCTCTGCGCCTTATTAACTGGAATTTTTCTAGAACATAAGCAGCTTTGATACCTGTCTCATGCACAGCTGAGATGGCTCAAGCGAAATGCTGAGCAGCAGGGCATGCTGTGTCTGTGTGTGTGTGTGCGCGCAGTTAGGTGTTGCAGTATGAGTTTCAGGTGTCAGACTCGCCAATGGAATCAGACTAATAGCAGCTCAGATCAAGAGGCCAGCCACAGGCAACAGAAAGCTTTGGTATTGATCCAGGAGTCTCACCATTAGTGGAATGAGACTGTCATGCCGCCTCTGACTATTTCTAGAATTATGACAAGGAGAATCCAGCCACCGAATGGCATTTCGCTCTTAGATTCAGACTATTTCAACTGCAACAATTTACAAATATATATGTATTATATTATATATATATACACAGCACTTCTTGCATGGGAAAGATGTCTCCAATTGCTTTAAACAAAAGACCCACGCACACCACACACACGCCCACGTAAACCTCAGTGATTTATTAGCCTGTGTGCACATTCGCTAGAAATCGCTCTGAATTTAACATACACAAAAATTAAGTTAAAAATGAACAGTCAAAAGCATCCACCAGACGCAATTTCCGTTTCAAACAAATCAATCGTTCGGGTGAACCTACCTGTCGTAATCGCCATTGCACAGACCTCTCACTGCAATGCTGAACTGCTGCCATACTGGATTCAGAGTGTTTTTCACCACTTCTGTTTTATGGCAGATTGTAAAGCTGGTCACACAAGAGAGAGAAATAAGTTAGAAAAGAGATGAAAAACTCTCAATTTGGGGAGAGAGAAGGTGGGGGGGAATGAAGAGAGAGAGATTGTGGGGAGCTTGTGGGGGTGGGGGGGGTGCGGTGGTGATACATTAATTTTCTTGATGACAGAAACAACGACGGACTGGCTATACAGGGGTTAGCTCTGGAGCACCCCTCAATTGGCTCCTAGGCATCCACCAGCAAATAAATGCGCAACTAAAACAAACGCGGATCAATTACTGTTGGACGGCACCTCCGACAATATGCTCAGAAACAACAGCCCCAGACCGCGTGAGTTCAAAGTTCCGACGTGGGGCTTGGAACCCACAACCTGTTGACTCAGAGGGCGAGAGTGCCAACCAGCTGAGCCAGGCTGATACCACAACAGCGACAACAACAACTTGCATTTATATAGTGTTCCTCGCGCGGGGTAGAGTCCCAGTGCACTTGGCAGTGGTGGAACCAGGGGGGGAGGGGGAGGTGACCTTAGGATAGGAAGGTCTTCAGGCACGACCTGAAGATGTGGAAGGAAGGGGCGAGGCGGAGGGATGAATCCCTCTGTTATTTCAGGGCAAATGGTGGACCCTTTCCCTCGTTACACGCTCGCCCACAGAAAGCTACAATCACCCCAATTTACGGTATATCCTGTGAAACGTTTTGAGGCGTCTTGACGGCATGATGATAGAGGGGTATACCAAATGCAGGATTATTATTATTATTATTATTATGTACAATGTTATTCTTCTTCTGGATGATACCGCAATAGTCGAAGTGAGGCTTCATGTGATTTATTGGTCCCAAGTCCATTGCTCAAACAATTACGCTAGCTGGATAGAATAAATTTGATTTTCTGTCACTGTTATGAATTAACAGTCGGCCACGTAGCCTTCTTTATTATCCGAACAAACTGCCTGTAATTTCATTCATTAAAAAGCTATTACTTTTTTTTTGAATTATTCAAGTGCACGAGTGCATTTATTTTTAGATTCTCATTTGCGAACGCCACATCTTGTTCAGCAGGTTCATAAAGTACCATTGTTTCAGCTGTGACGAAAATTTGATCTCGGTGCAAATCTCTACGCAACAACTAGCACTATTATACTGCCTTCACAACGTTAACGAGGAAATAATAATCCTTGCATTTGATGCAGTGCCTTATCACATCATCAAGTGCACCTCAAGTACGGTCACAGGATTTTACTGTGTCGTGTAGTGACTGTGCATTTTGTAGATAATTATATTGGTTCCAGAATCAAACAGCCCTCAGTCAGTCATTGCAGTTAATCATTCTCCCAAGGTCTTTAGCACAAAAGAACACCTTTAATCATGACCAAATGATCTTGCATGACAACAGGTCAACACAGGGGCATGCAAGCCATATAATTCACTCAACATCAGCTTGTATATTTGAATGTATATTTTCAATGCCGTTTAATCCTGTTGCAATGGCTCATGTTTTTCAGCTGAGATAAGCTGGAGACAAGCATTGCAAGTGGCCGCCCTTTCCCCTGAAGAGATTTACTTCCACACTAGTACACCAATCTCAGTATCTAAATCAATAGCCCCCACATCTATCTGATCTCATTGGAAGCATCTTCCGATTGATTTTCTGAGCAGTCCTGACATCTGGATACGTTGATTCATTCTATTAATTTCCATTAAGTTGGCTGCCGTGTTTCACCCACAAAACACACCGTCTCTACACTTTGCAGTGTATCCTGTGAAGTGCTTTGGGATGTCTCGACGACATGATAGGGCGCATAATCAAAATTATTATCNAAAAAAATTCAAAATGCAAAAATGTGAGGGTTGAGCTTCCTTCCCAACGGCGCTCACTAAGTGTTGACCGCTTTTCCTCTTCGACCCGTAGCTATGGTCACCTCTCCTTTCTCTTTAGCTCAATGTCAGACTATGCGAGGCGCTAGCCCGGGTGAAGGGCGCTACATAAATCCAAGTTGTTGTTGCTGATGACTGTCGTTGCTTAAATTGCTCGTAACATCCTGCTCTCCAGGTGAGAGAGCAGCTCCAGACTGGATTGTGGTGGGGACCAGCCGAAACACACGCTCAAAAGCAGTTTTGGAAACGTTCTAAAATATCGTGCTTGTCAGTGAGAAAATGACGCTGTTAATAGTAAATAGCACAAATTACAGGGTGTCCTACTCTGTGACAAATGGCTGGCTCCACTGATTGGGGAGTGGTGTGGGGGGAGAGTGGGTAAAACATGTTATTTGCATGAATTCATCAAAGATTTCAATCAAATCACTTACGTCCCATCTTCATTACTTCGGTAGAAGACCATGAAAGGATCTGATTTTCCAAAGAAGTCTTTCTTGTCGAGTTTATTGGCGCAGAATTGCATCGTTGCCACATCCTGGAACAAGAAGCAATAACATTAAGCTAAGAGGAGCTTTGGATTTCTTTAGCTCTTCATTTCCTCAGACAAAGCTATAAAGGCAAGAACTCGCGTTTTGTACCGCAATGCTCAACCTTTTTCCCCACCAGCATTTCATTCCGTGAGCAAAGTCTATCAAGTAGAAAGGGAATTCTATCACATCGCATGTAATGAATGACCTTTGTTTCAGGAGCTGCTCTACGCCCACAAAATATACAGTCGAATCACTTTACAGTATATTCTGTGAAGCGCTTTGAGATGTCTCGAAGACGTGATAAGGCGCTGGATCAAATGCAAGGATTATTATTATCATCATCATCAAGTGGGAGTGGGTTCAAGCCCAATTCATTGTTCCTCTGAACCTACTTTTCTCCTCTAGGAACATGAGAACCATGCCTTAAAATTTTCAAGATCGTGCAAAGAACTCTGAAATTCAGGTAGGATTTGGATTTCCTCTCAAGCCGATTAAAGAATTCTGGAAAACAGGTTTCAAAATCAAGAACGGATTTTATGGATTTTCCCAAATCGTGCATGATCTTAAATGTTAAGACAATGTAATCTAAAACCAGCAGTGATTTCAGGACTCAGGTCATTATTAAGCACCACTGGACTTCACATTATCGTTGCTTAAAACAGTTTCCCCAAATTATAACTTTTTTAACCAAATATTTAGAGATCACATGCATGCCCATTTAATTCAAGTTCAACTTTATGCTCAATTAAACGAAACATGAATTTTCATACAAATTACCCAAAGCAGCCTGCATCACATCAAAATAAGAGGAATGACAACATATTCTTTTAGCAAATGGACCGCTAATGCAATACAAAATTACATTTGTATAGCGAGCTTCACGTCGGGAGGATATACCAAGGTGCTGATATTTGGGAAACACATAATACTTCATGTTCCAGACATGGAAATGAGTGCTATTCACACAGATGTACCGCAGGTTGAGAGTTAAATAGACATTGATTTTAAGACACAATTTTCTGACGTTGTTGGCACAGATAATCAAAGAGCTGGGTTGAGTTCACAAAGAGTCTTATTCGAGGGGCCACTCAGTGAAGTTATTCACTCACACTGTCAAAAGATTCAGACTTAAGTCAAACTTAAGTAGCTCTAAGGCTAACTTATGTACTGAAGTTATTCACAGTGGTAATACGAACGGTTCAGAATGGAAATGACATCTCCTTAGAGGAGCTCTCACCATTTTAATGCTTCGATTCTAAGAATTTGTACATGGTGCTTGGTAATGGAATACTATCACTTCAGGGTATTCTGTAAACCGTTAGCAGAGGAGTGAGTGCTTTCCATGTGAAGAAATGTGCCCGTGTCTGAAGATGCAGTGTATTCCTTCTTGTTATTGTCATGTCCAATGTGCCAAAGTGCTGCACCTGCCCCTGATAGTGATTTTGTCAGAGAAACTTTCCAAACCCAAACTGTTTCGCAATGGAATCACGATTGAGCGAGCCGGTCACCTCTGCGGTAACCTTCACTGTCATTTCGTCAAGATTTTAGCAATATTTTTGGAAACACTTGCATTTGAGTGGTGTCATATGAAGGTAGTGACGAAGGTGTAAAAATAGCACTGGCTAGAATTTTACAGCGTGGCAAATAAGACAGGGATCACCTGACAATAAGTAAAATAATAATTTGTCCAATTTGTGCAAAATCACATGAGGCAATTTACAGAAACGGAGCAAGTTTCATGATAATTCTTGCATCTGATATAGCGCCTTTCACGTCAGGAGGACATCTCAAAGCGTTTCACAAGATGTACTATAAAACAGAATGACTAACTGTATGTTTGAAAATAATAATAATAATCCTTGCATTTGATATTAGCGCCTTATCACGCTATCGAGACGTCTCAAAGCGCTTCACAAAATACACTGTAAAGTGAATTGACTGTATATTTTGTGGGCGAAATGTGAACGTTAATAGCACAAAAGGAAGTCAATCGGGAAGTTGATTGAGCCTAGAATCTTCGGAACATACCCAAGTACTGGCGTGGCTGGAAGACCTAAGTCTGAATGGACATCTCAATTGACATTGACACTCAACTTTCCCCCTGAAGCTTGTGTGTCGCCAGTCACCACTGGCTGCTGCATGGAAGGAAGAGAGGAAGGGCCTGAAGCGTGCTGAACCAGCGAAAGGTGGATGCTTCTTGACAGTTCAACCCGAGGAAAGCTTTGTCTGAGCATCCAAAGCAAGAGACAGCGTCTTGATGTAGGAAGTTATTTGGGGGTAAGAAATCCGGAGGGAACGCATTTCAAACAGAGCTCGCGACTTATTTTTAGAAAGCAGGCCTTTCCTTCCCGAATCAATTCTTGCACTTGATGCGATACCTTTCACGTCAGGAGGATATCTCAAAGCGCTTTGCAGGAATTACTCTAAAGTGCGGTGACTGGGGATTTTCTAAGCGAATGCTAGCTAAAGCAGCTAGCTTGCGGACAAAAGTAGTAAAAGTCAATGTATTGCCCTGCCATTTCCTCCTCTCCTCTGTTGAAGGCTGTGATGAATGCTGGGCTATGATGAATACAGCCACAGGTGACAGCTACCATCCAGCATCTCACACGAGTGATCGTTTATCAATGGCGAAGCTCGCCACAGAATGTTGCCAGGCTGACCAACAGTGTTGGGCTGACTTTTGTCCCCTTCCTGGCTCCAGAATATGAGCCCTCAGAGAACTACAGAAACCCAAGGCACAGTAGGAGGCCATTTGGCCAACTGTATCAATGGTCCTGCTTCTGTGCTATAACTCAAATTCGGGAGCTTCCTGCTCCAATGGCTCAGTCTAACACTGGCTTTTACCAACTGAGCCAACAGTGGAGCCAACTAAAGTGAATTTAACTTTCCACCGGCAAATGTTAAAGGACCTTCTTGAACAGTTCAGGGGAGAAATTCCACCTGGGTCTCGATTGACTCTATTCTCGGAGCACTTTAGAGTGTTCAGACTTGGGAAAATTGTTGAATTCAACTTCCCAACTTTGAGGCTTGTTTTCTGCAGTTCTGATTAGAACGTGTGGAAAAGTGGCTTCGAAAAATATCAAGGTTGTGTTTACGAATTTACCAAATTCTGGACACTCCAAAATGCCACATACACAAAGTAAATCTAGACCCAGGTGTAATTTGTACCTCTTGCATACTTGCAGCGTTCTCTAAATAAAACCCAAAGCTTTTTGTTGCTTTTTTTAAAAAAAACGTCTTTCCATTCTCAAAATTGTAAGAAAATATATACCTAATGGCAAAGTGTGAATGCAGTCTAATGCATTTAATCAAGCCTTCTGACCTCAATGTGACACAGCATCTTAGATCTGTCTGATAAACAGCTCAGATGCTAACTTAAGCTTGTTTGGTATCTAAATTCCATGGCACAACCCAAAGTCACGTTTGCAAAGACATTTTGCAAGGAAAGAAATGTTAGTAGCTGCGGGCAGAAATAATACACTCCTGGAGTCATTTAACTTTGCACTATGAGCCCACAGTTTATGTTAATGCTTTTGTGTACTGAGTTCTGCTTTATTTTACTGACTGGGTATCTTTGCAAAGTTAGATGTTCACGAAAAAACACAAAGCAGGGCTATGAAACTTTAGCAATATTTTCACAATTTATAATGTTGATCTCTCTCTCTCTCTCTCTGTACATATATATATATATATATATATATACACACGTTAGACTGCTTCAACAGTGTCTCTGTAAGCCTTTCTAAGTAAGCATGATTTAATCAGGATGAATGTTAGCTATTATGTCTGAAATCCATTACATTGTACTCCAAGTCTCTTGCTGCTAAGATAGTGCTGTCTTAATATTCATTTGGTCAGCCGGGTGTCTGACATGTGCGGAAACCCTTCACCATGCTCAAGAGTATCCAAACCAAACAGAGTTCCAGGCATCCCACCTAAACTTAGAAATTCCAGCGCTATTTATTGGAATGGAATGCGCACTGTCTCCCTGGAGGGATGCATCTTGCTTACCTAATTCTGGAAAGTATTAGGCGCAGGTTGGCAAGAGCCAGGGCTTGGGGCTGTCTTAATCCAGTTGGGTTGTACTTTTCCCAATCAGTTTACTTAATTAATCACAGCGCTTTGACTTAATCATGAGGTCAGACTGGTCTGCTGGGTACGGTTGTGGCTGTACGCTTCATTTATCAGCTGTTTCCATTGCAGACTGTCCTCTGTTTGACAGCCTTGCTCAGCAATTATCGTTAACAGCTAACAATCCTCCGTTACCCTGTGATTGATTCCCCACAGTATTTCAACTGTAAGAAGGCTCCAAGCTATATGGTTTTGGTAAAAGAGAACACAAAAAAGGCAGATAGTAGGCTCGATCTTCCCATTAATTGCAACAGTTCAGTGAGCTTCAATCCCCTGGTAACTGTCGCTGTAATCTACCGTGAGTTACACCCGCCTGAAGGGGAGAGATTATGATGATGTGAGAGGTTAAACCACAAGAAGCTGATTTACCCATTCTATGATATAGTCTCCGCCTCTCCACGACATCTGCAATCAGATTCTTAGTTCTCAACTTGGAATGGTAAATACTGAATGTTGACAGTAACCGGATATGTGCCACATAGGAACTATAATATAGTATAATACTCCTTGCATTTGATTTGGCGCTTTATCACATCGTCTCAAAGCGCTTACGTTAAGATGGAACTGTGCTCCACACGATCCATGCATCACAGTGAACTTCCCACGGGCTGTAGCATTTCCACACAATGGAAACAGAACAATATACTCTCGGGTGCACCAAGACTGTGGAACAAGAGGACCCCCCAGGTTTCAATTTCAGCACAGACACCATGAAATATTTCTTTACTCCGAGGGTAACTAACGACTGAAGCAGCTTGCCAAGAAGGGTGGTTGACTAATAATAATAATAATAGCAGGATACTGCACTCATTTTAAACACAGAAAGGAGTCCTGTAGCTCAGTGGTTAGAGCACTCGCTTTGCAAGTGAGAGAC